TGTATGTAGGCCTATACATATATTTATGTAGTGCACTATTTTAATATATTTATATTGGTAATATACATTTCTATAACAATCTATGAGTAAATGACACATTTATTGTAAGTAAATAATTGTAAATTGATTATGTATATGGTGCAATTATATACTGTATATCGGTGCAATTAATTCATTATATATTGGTGCATATTTGATATTAAATCTGTTTATTATATATAGGAACATGTAATATTGTAATGAATCATAGGGTGGTAAGGGGGTGGGAGTTAATAAGTTTATGCTTCTTCCTGCTCCTTTTCAAACTCATGTTTGTACATATTTTCCCATGTTTTTTATTTTGGTTTAATTTTACTTTTGTTCATTAGAAATATTTCATTCATTCATTCATTCATTCATTCACAATGTTTCTACAGGAAAGTTTTCAACATATCATCAGATTTTCCTTTATTTCACAAAACCAGTGTAAACTTCAGGTTTTTGCTGCTGTAACAAGAATTTCATTCATTCTTTGGGTCATGGACGGTTTCAGTAGTCCTGTCAGTCTACATGAAGACTGGAGGTCATTTGGCAAGTGGTAAACATTCTGATAGTGAAAGTGAAAAGATGTGAAATGTATTTTATATGTTTTCTGCCATAACATTTAACATCTGCTTGTAGTGACAGCAGCATTATTGTATCTTTTTATAGTAATATTTCCACTGACAGCAGCTGGCTGAGCAAAAGATTGTGTTTTGGTTTAACACATAGAAAAAGTCAGCAGTTACTTCAGAAAGTATGTTTTGTACATGTGTCATCCATCCAACTAGCTGCTGGTCACCTGGTGAAGTTCATGAATGGAACTCTTCATTCAGTCAAAATTAGGTGAACATCTGGACATAATCCAGGAGACGGTTCCATTTGCTTGAACAGTGTGGTTTAGAAAACAACGTGGCACGTCATGAACATGTAGTGGTGTGAAACAAATGTTGTACAGAGAGCAACATTCTTATCACAAGAACCTGAGCATATATTTTTTATCATGTTCACGTGTTGAAAACACATTTGTTATTGTGTCAAGTTATTTTTTAAATGTGGAAACTAAACTCTGTACCTGCCATAGACTGTGTCAAAGCAGGTGTCATGGTTGATCGATGGACACATTTTGTAATAATGACAAAGGAGCTGTTTTCATGAATTTGCCTAATGACTGTGTTACCATTCTTATCTTAGGTTGTACTGTGTTTGCTTGGTTTCCAGTAAGCTCCATATCATACTGCTTTTACTTCTACAGAACACCAGATTTGTTCTGTGTTAAAATCATGGAATTTCTCTCTGACATCTTGATGAAGCAGAGTGTCGGTTCACTTTTTTTGCTTCCTCTTTGTTCCCATGGAAGTGGTTGGTTGGCAGTGACTATATAAAGACCTGTTGGTTTCAGACTCTTCAGTTCATCATGGACAAAGTTCTGCTGCTGGTCCTGTTGTGTCTGCAGGTCGTCCTGCTCACCACAGCCTTCACTGCTGCTCATGAAGCCGCTCTGCTGAGAGATGATCAGCATCAACTACAACAACCTTCTGATCTGATAAGAAGCCTGCAGGTAGCTTTGATTGTCTTGTGTTGGCCTGTTCTGTAGAGGAAAGTGTCTTTCTGCATTTATTAACGCTCCATTTATCTTGATTTTCTCAAAGCAAGTGAAAGAAACAGAAGGGGCAGAGTTGAAGATTAGAGTCAGGAGGCAATGCGCGACAAAACCAGGAGGATGCGGCCCACTCAAAGTAATAAGCCTTTTTGTCTTGTTTAGACAGTACAGATCAAAATTTTACAGTCAAAATTTTGACATGGATGAAGTTTGGCTAATTATCTCTCTCTCCTCAAGTCAAGACCGAGGAAGCGGTCTTGAGCCAATCTCTGAGAGAGAAGAAGACTGCAAACAAATGGAGATAATTGTAATGCTTACAAAAAAAGACGATGCAAGTGCTTTATAATATCAGAAATAAAATATTCCAGATCAAATACTGTGTAGTTTTCTGCTTGGAACACAGCGCTTGATGGCAACCAGAAGCTTTAAAGGACTCTCTGTCTTCTGCACTGTAACTGAAAACTGTTGAGTAGTTATTGAACCAACACAACTACAGTCAGCTGGCTAATAGCTCACCTGTTTACACTGCAAAGAGGAAGAAAGCAGGGTACAATCCACACATCTGATGCATGGAAATCAATACTGATCTGAAGGATTTTCACAACAG